AGCTCCTCGGAAAGGCCTGGATGGCCCAGCTCCCTGAAAAGGCCTAGATGGCCCAGCTCCGTGAAAGGGTCCAGATGGTCTAGCTCCCCAAGGAGGCCCAGGTGGCCTGGCCTGCGGCTGAGCGTATACCGGAGGCATCTGAAAATAAAGAGTTCAATTCAAATACATCAGTCCAAATATGTACATCAGATGCAGACACAAGCAAAGACTACATGAGATGAGTGCATGTAAACACAATGTACAAGTGGGGTGTGTCAAATGTGCTCTACACAAGTAGCCTATCAATGCAGTAGAAATCAGCATGTCATCAGAAGTATGATAAATGCCAGAAAACTAAAGGGTACCTGGAAGCCCATGATAGACAACTGTGCCTCCCTCCGCAGTACCATGCCCTCGAGTGAGGCCACCAATCCGACTACCTCCTCCATGTACTCTCGGAGTGGCTGCAAATACGAGCTCGTAATCATCAGTGAATAAAGGAATGTCTAAATGTTTGAACGATAGATGAAAAGCAATGGGGCATACCAGTGGTGAGTCGGGATCAATGGCGTATCGATCACCGGGCATCGGAGGCTCTATCGGGATCGGAGTCAGAGAAGTAGTCCCATACTGCCACCCCATCAGCTCAGTCGGCATGTCTGGCCATCCAGGATGAGGATAAGTCGGAGGAATTGGAGGAATCGGAGGAACCGATCTACCCCCACCTCCAGATGTACCAACCCTGCTGGTGGAAGGGGCGTCTGCAGCCCGAGCCTGGGCCTGGCTCGAAGATGGCGTACCAGTAGACCTCGTCATCGGGGTGCGAACTCCCGTCAATGGAGGCATCAGGTATGTAAGTGGCGTAATCCCCCTCCTCGAGATGTAGCAAAGCATCACTACCCAGCATAGCACCAACTATCTCCTGGGAAGAGAGCCTATCAGCAGTCTGCATACTGACTGGGGGTGTTGCGGGGGGGTCCTGAGAATCATACCCCCATACCTGACGCAGAAAGCGTTCCCCCAGAAACCATGCTCTACCAACCGGTCCTTCGAGCAGGACCCTGTACTGGGAGGTGCCCGATCCTCCTGCATACTGAAATCAGAGACCATCACCCAAGGGTGCCCAGGGCTGCCATGTAATCTACCGATAACAAGTCCATAAACCAATCAGAAATCGGGATTATGCAGGGCAAATCAAAGATGAGAATGGAAAGAACTGAGAGTTCTAAAGTACCTCCGATGGTCGCGCAGTGTCAAAATACTGTCGCAGGTAAAAGAGAGACTCCCGAGGTCTCGGCCGGTGCTGGCCCTCGAACACCAATGAGTACGGGGTCATGAGGGGCCCTGCCACCTCCAACTCTGGGGCTAACGTCGGGAAATATACGTAGACCCATAACTGAGAAAAACAGTGCAGAATGTAAGTACAAAGTGCTGAGGGCAAAATACAGACTGCAAAGTGCGCTGTGTGTGCAATGTACAAGTAATAAGGAGCAGAAATGTAAATCAAGAGGACAGAAAGTACCTCCCAGGCTCTCCAATGACCGCCAAGTAAGTCTCCCTGCCCGCGGGAGGTCGCGCTCATGTAACAGTAAAGGGTAGCCAAGCCGGCGCCACCCCAGTCGTATCGACTGACCTATGATAGGTCAACCAGAGCGCTCAATAGATATAGCCCAACCGTGTTCCCTCTATCGGCAAACAGAGTAGTCCCGAAGAGGAACATAAGGAAACCACGGGCATACTGCTCTGTCTCCTCAGGAGTCCCGGGCTCTATCTCCGCCCGCCGAAAATGGGAAGAGAACCAGGTATATTGGACTCTCCCCGAAGCTCTGTCAACAGGCGGGCGAGCTCCCAGTAGATATATCCAAGCGGCCTCCCACTCGCCCATGTCCTCGTCATAAGGAATGGACCAACCTCCTATGTCCAGGCCGGTCAACACAGCAAAACCCAGAGGGGTCATAGTCATGTCCCCAGTGGCAGAGAAATGAAAGGAGTTGGTGGTGTCCCACCATCTCTCCACTAAGGCTGCCATCAGTGTCCTCCTGGTAGGACAACGCGATAACCCCATGCAGAAGGCCCCGAACCCTGCCAGATCTACTAAATCCCGGACAGCCTCCGGGAGCTCAACATACCAATCCCTCGCGGCGGTCGAGCCATATCCCCGTACACCACGAGAACCAACCTGCATTCAGAATGAATACATGTGTCAGTATAAAAATGAATGAGCTGTGTGCCAATGAAATGAATGAGCTATGTGCCAATGAAATGAATGAGCTGTGCGCTAGTGAAATGAATAAGCTGTGTGAAAGTAAATAGGCTGCGTACAGATGAAATTAATGAGCTGCGTGTTCAGAAGAGAAATGTGTGGGCTGCGTGTTCACAAGTGAAATATGTGAGCTGTCTGTTCAAAGTGTGATGTATAAGCTGCGTACAAATGAAATGAATGTGGGCTGCGTGTTCACACACAAATTTGGGCTGCGTGTTCAGATTTCGGAAAATTAAAGTTTGGGCTGCGTGTTCAACTTTCAATCAAATGTGGGCTGCGTGTTCACAACAAATTTGGGCTGCGTGTTCAGATTTCAGAAAATTAAAGTTTGGGCTACGTGTTCAACTTTCAATCAAATTTGGGCTGCGTGTTCAGATTTTAGAAAATTAAAGTTTGGGCTGCGTGTTCAACTTTCAATCAAATGTGGGCACGCATTCACAATCAAATTTGGGCTGCGTGTTCAGATTTCAGAAAATTAAAGTTTGGGCTGCGTGATCAACTTTCAATCAATGTGGGCTGCGTGTTCACAATCAAATTTGGGCTGCGTGTTCAGATTTCAGAAAATTAAAGTTTGGGCTGCGTGTTCAACTTTCAATCAAATGTGGGCTGCGTGTTCACAACAAATTTGGGCTGCGTGTCCAAGTTTCAGAAAATTAAAGTTTGGGCTGCGTGTTCAACTTTCAATCAAATGTGGGCTGCGTGTTCAGATTTCAGAAAATTAAAGTTTGGGCTTGGTATTGAACTTTCAATCAAATGTGGGCTACGTGTTCACAATCAAATTTGGGCTGCGTGTTCAGATTTCAAAAAATTAAAGTTTGGGCTGCGTGTTCAACTTTCAATCAAATGTGGGCTGTGTGTTCACAACAAATTTGGGCTGCGTGTTCAGATTTCAGAAAATTAAAGTTTGGGCTGCGTGTTCAACTTTCAATCAAATGTGGGCTGCGTGTTCACAAAAAATTTGGGCTGCGTGTTCAGATTTCAGAAAATTGAAGTTTGGGCTGCGTGTTCAACTTTCAATCAATGTGGGCTGCGTGTTCACAATCAAATTTGGGCTGCGTGTTCAGATTTCAGAAAATTAAAGTTTGGGCTGCGTGTTCAACTTTTAATCAATGTGGGCTGCGTCTTTCACACACAAATTTGGGCTGCGTGTTCAGATTTCGGAAAATTAAAGTTTGGGCTGCGTGTTCAACTTTCAATCAATGTGGGCTGCGCGTTCACAATCAAATTTGGGCTGCGTGTTCAGATTTCGAAAAATTAAATTTTGGGCTGCGTGTTCAACTTTCAATCAAATGTGGGCTGCGTGTTCACAATGAAATTTGGGCTGCGTGTTCAGATTTCAAAAAATTAAAGTTTGAGCTGCGAGTTCAACTTTCAATCAAATGTGGGCTGCGTGTTCACAACAAATTTGGGCTGCGTGTTCAGATTTCAGAAAATTAAAGTTTGGGCTACGTGTTCAACTTTCAATCAAATTTGGGCTGCGTGTTCAGATTTTAGAAAATTAAAGTTTGGGCTGCGTGTTCAACTTTCAATCAATGTGGGCTGCGTGTTCACAATCAAATTTGGGATGCGTGTTCAGATTTGAGAAAATTAAAGTTTGGGCTGCGTGTTCAACTTTCAATCAAATGTGGGCAGAGTGTTCACAACAAATTTGGGCTGCGTGTTCAAGTTTCAGAAAATTAAAGTTTGGGCTGTGTGTTCAACTTTCAATCAAATGTGCGCTGCGTGTTCACAATCAAATTTGGGCTGCGTGTTCAGATTTCAAAAAATTAAAGTTTGGGCTTGGTATTCAACTTTCAATCAAATGTGGGCACAATTAAATTTGGGCTGCGTGTTCAGATTTCAGAAAATTAAAGTTTGGGCTGCGTGTTCATCTTTGAATCAAATGTGGGCTGCGTGTTCACAACAAATTTGGGCTGCGTGTTCAGATTTCAGAAAATTAAAGTTTGGGCTGCGTGTTCAACTTTCAATCAAATGTGGGCTGCGTGTTCACAATCAAATTTGGGCTGCCAGTTCAGATTTCAGAAAATTAAAGTTTGGGTTGCGTGTTCAACTTTCAATCAATGTGGGCTGCGTGTTCACAATGCAATTTGGGCTGCGTGTTCAGATTTCAGAAAATTAAAGTTTGGGCTGCGTGTTCAACTTTCAATCAAATGTGGGCTGCGTGTTGACAATCAAATTTGGGCTGCGTGTTCAGATTTCAGAAAATTAAAGTTTGGATTGCGTGTTCAACTTTCAATCAATGTGGGCTGCGTGTTCACAATTAAATTTGGGCTGCGTGTTCAGATTTCAGAAAATTAAAGTTTGGGCTGCGTGTTCAACTTTCAATCAAATGTGGGCTGCGTGTTCACAACAAATTTGGGCTGCGTGTTCAGATTTCAGAAAATTAAAGTTTGGGCTGCGTGTTCAACTTTCAATTAAATGTAGGCTGCGTGTTCACAATCAAATTTGGGCTGTGTGTTCAAATTTAAGAAAATCGGAGTTTGGGCTGCGTGTGCTACTCCTAGTCAGTGTGTGCTGTGTGTTCACCTTGAAATTCGGGCTGTGTGTTCGACAAATCAGTGTTTGAGCCGTGTGTTCACTTCTTAACTAATGTGTGTCGTGCGTTCGCAATTAATTAATGAGCCGAGTGTTCAGAAATTCAAGCGTTTAAGCTACATGTTCGGGATGCAAACAAAGTACTATGTCATAAGCTAAACTGTGTGTTCAAGCATGGCAAAGACACGAAATGCACGAAAAACGCAGAAAATGAAGTAAATACCTCTCGTGCCTCATAGGAGAGGTGATGCTCTGGCTCCCGCAGAAGTAGATCCCCAGGTGCTCGATCATCAAAATCAGTAAAATGACGAAAAATGGCCCGGGGAAGGACATGTGCTGGCGGAGCATACCTCTCGGGAATAAAGGGTCGGACCCTCGGGGGCAAAGTCATGACATCAAAATCATCCCCGGCACCCGGAAAACCTCCACCATGAGGAGAATTACCCGCCATTTCAGAAAATCTGCGAAAGGAGCAAAAATGAGCGAAAATGAGCCAAAATTGGAAAAAGTCAACAAAAGTCAACTCCCGAGAAAATCTTCCAAATATTAAGACAAACTCACCTCAAGTGGCGAAAATGAGAAAAGAAGCACCGAAATCGAAATTTAATCAGTTCAAAGTGCTTGAAACTGAATATTTTCGCGAAAACAACTTCCGTGGGGCGTTGGAAAACGCGTATGGAGCTCAGATCTGAAGGAGAAAATGGTTTGGGAAGCAAGAGGAGAAGATTTCGTGGCTGAAGTTATGAGCTCAAAGTGTTTGGGTGAGAGAATATATAGAAAAGAAGGTGAAAAGACCAAATTACCCGCGGATTTGGGCAGGTGGCCGGCCGGCCACCTTTTCTAGCCGGCCGGCTATTCTCTTTTTTGAAAAGTGGCCGGCGGCCTCCCCTTGGGAAAATAACTAGCTGGCCGTATCTCCCACATGCTCACCTAGCTCTCTGCAAATTTTGAGGAAGATTGGAGTTCCCGGGACCTGAAAAAGTTCAAGAAAAGTGCACTTTCAGTCGCGAAGTTGCTCCGCCGGAACTTCAGCTTCAAGTTCTGACATGTGTCTCATCATTATTCATCGAAATCAAAATGTATCCTTTTTGAATATGTTGTAGCCTTTCCAGGATGTGAATAGGAGGCCGTGATCGAGTCGCCTTCGCCGAAACACGCATTTCTTTGCTCGTTATTTCGTAACAAACGGGCACCTTGATTTATGCTCGTTTTGCACTATCATGCACATAACTTGTGTTCTCATGAGCATGCTTGCATTATTATGCACATTTCTCGATATTTCCATACCTCTGTGCTTGAGCATGCATTGTCACGCACGTTCCTTTCCCGCATCGCGATGCATTCACTCGCTGGCACTGCGTGTGTCAAACGTTCGGAATTACATTGAATATATGTTGTTAGCATATTGTGCTTGTTGAATTTCTCTCTTTTGCAGGCACGATATTGTATGTACGGTTCATTTGAGACTGGTGCGACCAGACGAATCGCGCAGGTATCGTATCCTCTCCGTGTGAGACACGACGAGAATTGAACAATTCTCCGCATTCTTAAGTGCATGAAATGTAGTTGTCGCTTTGCATTCTTGCTTAAAACTGTTACATCTATTTGCGAATACTTGCTTCATTACAGCTTGCTGCATTTGCATAATCATTGAGTTACCTCCAGCTCTGTACATATCGCTTTGCATTTTGCCCCCTTGCCTGCGGGCATGCCTACGAGCACATCTCTGTTTATCTTGTACGTTTGTCTAAGTCTTTGGCCTTGTCAAAAATGGGTCGTCTCTGGGCTTTGACATTCACTCCCGTCACTTATGACTTTCGAGTTCTATCAAAGAGGGGCAGTTGTAGACACCCCATTTTTGACCGACCTTGAGACTTAGACATCACCAGTTGAGCGCTTGGTGATGTTGCATATCGCGCTCGTTCAGAGGTTTCAAAGTCTCAGCTGCGAGCCTTGCCTCCGGACTTCCGAATCCTCTTCTGTGCCTTGCCTCGGTTTGCGAACCAGGCTCGGTTTTCTCTGTTTCTTTTCCTGAGGGGAGGGAGAGGTCCCGTAGACCATCTCTCAATGGCCGTGGGCTACATTTTGTGGCCGTAGGCCATTTTGCCCATTTCGGAGCCCGGTTTTCGGTTTTTCGGGACCGTTGGCCGTGTGCCTCGGTTCGGGACCGCTTAACCATCTCCGTTTGCTCTGATTTTTGGCATACTTCTTATTTACTTCCTTTTGAGGGACACTGAGGTCTGAGAGACCCACTTCGTGGTCGAATGCCACTTTCGATGCTTAACAGGCAGTTTTCGGGGCCCCGAACTGCGCGTTTTGGCCCCCGAGCATCCGTTTTGTGTCGGTTTTTGTTCATTTTTGGCAGGTACCTCTGTTTCATCACCAGGAAGGCCATAGAAGGGTAGGAGGCCAGCAATTGTTTCAGCAACCAGTTATATTCCTCCGGCGCCCTCCGACGCCCGTTTTTTCTTACTTCCGAGCCAATGTTGAACAACCTTGGGCCATTTTCTTAACCTTTTAACCACATATTTGTGTTGTACACACATGGGAGGACACCAAAAGTTGGTGGCCGGCCAGTAATTCCATCTGACCCTTTTGACCCCCCCCTAAAAATGGCTTGTTCTCTCTCCTGTTTTACAGTTGCCAATTTTGAACCACAGGGTTGTGTTGAGGGTACCTGGGAGGACACCTATCTGTGGTGGCCGGCCAGAAAATCTTCTTGACCTTTTTGACCCTTGGGCGGCCGGCCATGGGAGGTAGCCGGCCGGCCACCTGCAGCTCTGAAAGTTGGCCGGCCTCTCTCCTTGCAGTGTGCACTTTACAGCTGTATAGCTGTTTTTCCCCAAAATATTTGTATCCGAGGGACACCTTTTGGGGGAGAACTTGGTCTTTTTTCCCCCACGTTTTCCTCTCCACCTCTCCCTCTCCTTGGTCCATATAACCAGCTGCCAGCTCTGGTTTGAAGGGTTAGAAGAAATTACCTTGAAGCCTTGCATACATATCTCCCTCCATCTCTCTCATTTTCTAAAAAATTCCTAAGTCCTACACCCCATTTCTTCATCACCACCAAGCCCCACCACCACTACTCCATTTCCAGCAGCTTGGGGAGCTTTCCAGCAGCTAAGAGGCATCACTTCTCAAGCCAAGAAGCATCCAAGAGTTGGTCTTCAAGGGTGAGTAGTATTTCTCCTCTTTTGAGCTTATTTTGGTATCATTCCTTAGCCATACATGCTTGCTGTTTTGAGCTCCGGCCCTAACTACAAGTGGCCTTCTTTTGAGCTCCTTTTCACTTTTGCTTAAGGGCCTCTCACTGTTTGAGGTCCCCATCTTGCACTTGCTTCATTATCCCTCTTGTATGCCATAATCTTGCATTGTATTTTTGGCCTATATGTGATCTGTTTTGGAGCATGATGTAAACTATAGATAGGCTTATTTTGAGCCCCTCTTCAACATTTAAGAAGGGATAATCACTTCTTGGGACCTCCATATACCACTTGTCATTATACCCCTCTTTGGTCCCCATTTTTGGCATGATCTATTAACCTAGTGTGCTTCCATTTTTGGACGATTTTCAGAACTGAAAACAGTCCTATTTTGGCCTCCTCTTCATATTTCATTGAGGGTATTTCACTATTTGAGACTTCCTTTATATACTTTGTGTTATATCTCTCTTTTTTGGCCATATTTTGCATGATATTTTTGGCTTGTTTGCGTGCTGTTTTGGGTCCGGCCATCAACTGTAAAATGTATTATTTTTGGTCCCTCTTCAGTGTTGTAGAAGAGTCTTTCTCTGTTTGGGCTGTGCATCTACCACTTGCTTCTTTGTCCACTTTTTGGCCCATTTCTTGCATAAGAGTTTAGCCATACCTGTGTTTGTTTTTGGGCTATTTTCAGAACTGTAAAAGATCATGTTTTGGGCCCCTTTTCAACTTTGTTGAAGGGCCCTAATCTTTTTGGGGACAGCAGCTGTGAGTTGCTTCTTTATCTCGCATTTAGGGCCATTTTTGCATGCTAGTTTTGCCCTGTTTGTGTTTGCTGTTTGGCCATGCTTTGAACTGTAAAAATGCTTATTTTGGGGCTTCCTTGCTTCTGTCTTTTCATTTCATGTTCAAATTATGCATGCTTTGTATAGCTGTAAGCCATTTCATGTACCTAATGTTGCATTTCGGTTTCATTCCATGCATCGGGTGTCATTTCGCCTTGTTTCAGGGCTGTTTTCCCCCTCATTTTGCTACTGGTTTTTGCATGTTTGCATACCATATTCCATGTCTTTGCCATGTCTCATTAGAGTGGCATTTCGGTGCCTGAGGGTTGGTCCTCGGTTTGCGTGCACGCGTGCACGCATTTCGAGTTGTCTTATTTTCATCTGATGGCCTCCTATGTGAGTATGGATGAGGCTCTTTCATGTTGGTATAAGCCCATTATTGCATTGCGTATGCCATTTCATCCATAGCATTGTGTATGCTCAGTTGTGTATTACCTCGTGCAGCGTGTATGCCATTCCATAACATTGTGTATGTTAGGATCGTATCTTAGTTGCATTTCATGCATGTCATGCATATTGCATCGTGTTCGGGATAGGAGTTAGCCCGGGCACAGGAAACGAGGCGCATTTCGTACTCCGAGTGACGGAACGTGTCTCAATTCCCCAGTCACCGACACTCCGGATTACCCATGATGGAGTTTAGGTTTTGTTGTGTTTTCATGTGCATTCATCCTATATTGAATTGTGCAATTCGAATCCTCGGCCATCACACCTCGATATGCGTGATTGGTGGCACGAGGATCGAGGCATGCATATATCTGTGAAAATACATTGCTATGCCCCTTTCCTGCTCTCTGTTGCAGCAAATCAAGAATCAGCGGTCTTCCGAGGCTTGGCACGCATTTCAAGAACAGGTGCAAACAGAGGCTAATTGGGGCATCGTCATGGATTTCCGCGCAAGGCAGCCCCGGGCATGCATCATTCATCA